ATTAAAAACCATCAGAATCAGAATCAGAATCAGAAAAGGTTTATTGCCATTGTTAGTGAACAAACGATTCACAAACTAGGAACTTGCTTCGGTACTAACGTGCTACATATAACATGAATAATATAATAAAAAAATAGAATAAAGTAGAATAAAATATAATAAACCAGCATAAAACTTTGCTATAAAAAATGGCAGGTAAAGGTAATATGGCCGATAACGTGACGTTATGTCAAGTACCGAAGACGAGCATGGTGTTTTGTTTATAAGCTGTTCACAAGTCTAACGGCAGATGGAAAGAAGCTGTTCTTATGGCGGGAGGTTCTGGTCCGGACGGACCGTAACCTCCTGCCTGAGGGAAGCGGCTCAAAAAGTCTGTGACCCGGGTGAGAAGGGTCAGCTGCTATCCGACCTGCACGCCCACGAGTTCTGGAGACATACAGGTCCTGGAGAGATGGAAGGCTGCAGCCAAATGAGAGGACATTTAGAGCAGAACCTGTTTGAGTCTAGGACAGACGTGTGAGGACCAGTTAGAGCCCGAGCAGCAGCTAGCTAGCAGCAGCCATGCCGGCTACCTCAAGAAGATCCGTGCTAACTCTGGGTCTTCTTCAACTCCAGACATGATCTGGTCCTAACTTAGTTTCTGGGGAGTCTCCGCTCTTGGGAGAATGAAGCTGCTGAGGTTCTGGGTTTTAACTGGATCCAGCTGAGATCTGCATCATCAGGAACACCCAGACCTAAACCAGAAGGTGTAGGCCCTGAACCACAAGACCTACAGGGAGGACCCGCCATGGAAGGTTCCTCCAACCCCTCTGGTTCTGGGGTTAGGGTAACCCCAGCCCTCCAGCAGAAACACCTTTAGGTCTAAACACCAAGGTTCACACAGAGATTCTCTAAAACACACACACACACACATACACGCACACACGCACACACAGCTCCCAGGCACAGGCCTGTGAAGGAATGTGGTAATGAATGGTCTTCATACCACACACACACACATTCTTGTATTTGTACACATGTTAGGACTTAGTGAGACCACTATGCCTAACCCTAACCAGTGTACTCCTAAAGTTATCTGTAACAAAAACTCAATTCACATCGTATCTGTAAACCTCACCCCTAGGGAGTACTCCGTATTAGGACCGGGTTTGGGTCCTAATAAGGACCATCGGTCATAAGAAGGTTAGTAAATATCCCAAATCCGGTCTTCACAGGGGTACAAATACAAGCCCACACACACACACACACACACACACACACACACACACACACACACACACACACAGAGTCCTAAAGATAGAGTCTGCTTGCTCCGACGCCCAGCCTGTGAAAACATTTCACTCGCTGCTGCCTTCAGGTCTCGTGGGAAATCTCAGCGCTGCTGCTCGCTGTTTACAGCCAGTCAGCTGATCAGCTGACTGGTCCAACAATAAATCAGGAATCTGGAGCTGGGATGATGTCAGAGGTGGAGGTTTGGGTCAGAGGTCAGCAGGGGCCAAGCTAACGTCAGTGATCGTGGGATTATGGATGTTTTTTGTGAAAACATTAAACTAGTTTCAGGTGATAAGAAGACATGAAACCAGGTCAGAGTTATGATTAGGGGTAATCCTAATCTCCAAAAGTGAACATAACCTGACGTAATCCTGCTCAGACACAAACAGGCAGACCAGAGGAACACACCTGAGCTTCAGGTGAGACCTGCAGGCGCACACAGCACCTGGGGCCTGTTGCACAAAGCTAGGATTAAGAAATCCAGAATTACCGTACCAGGCTGTAAGCAACTGACCAAACAAGCATACGTAACCACGTAGGTAGTGCAGGTAAAAGAAGGAAGCACCTAAAAACCCAGCAGGTAACAGGTTAAGAGCCACGACGGAAGCATGGGCTGGTAGGCTTGACGCCACGTTTAGGAGTTAGAAGGACTGAAAGCACCTTTCAGGTAAAAGGTGCTCATCCAACCCAGAGGGACGGAGTAGAGAAGGTCTTAACCGGCCTTGAGCCTCGTTTATACGTCGGCACGGGTGCAAACAACGCCATTATCCATCCTTTTGATGGATCTCCAGCACGCTCGCAAGGACGGAGTCGAGCTCCCTTTTCTAAACATCCGCCCAACGAGATGGAGAACGCAAGCTTGTGATTGGTCAGGATGCCGCTGACTCTAATTATGAACGTATTATTACCCCGCGACTGGAAGAGTGAAAAGATACGCAGCAAGCGTTTGATTCGTGGACGAAATGACGAGAAAGCCCGACACTCCCTCCATGAAGAGGTGGAGGAGGATGCTGTTTAGTCTCAAGTACAAAAAACACAACATAAACACAACATATTGGACCAGATACATGACGGGATACCGCAGAAAAGCGCTACGCCCTCTGGTGTCCTGGTGGTGGTAGGGGGTGGGGCAGAATGTCCATGCGTGTCTCTCCCTCGTGGAGCTGACGCAGAAGTATAAACGATACTTCAGGAACAGTGAGGAGGAGCTTATCCGCAGACCTGAGGGCACCAGGACAGCGGTAGCAGTGGAGCAGCACACCAGAGGGAACTTGACCATTTCAAGACTTACTAAACAAAAATTCAACGGGCACCCAGTGACGAGATTGGAGAATCTGTGTAACTTGGTGTCTTCTGTTAGCGCTGGTCAAGACCTCGCTACTCCACTCTGAACCAGACAGAGCAGCTTTGCTAATGCCTTACCGGCAGGACTTGGAATAGTCCAGCTGGGATGTAATGAAGGTGTGGACCACCCATTCTAGGTGACGTTTGCTCAGGCTAGACTTGAGTTTGGAAATATGCCTAAGGCGGTGAAAACAGGATTTAACTGTGCTATCAACGTCCATCTTAACCCCCTGGAGGCAGGCAGGTTAAAACCTCCCTACCTGGTTACTCCACATACGTATCTCATGAGCATTTCTTAACTCAGAAGTACCCGTGAAGGACTTAGTTGTTCGCCCTTTTATCAAAACTTACCTTGAGCTTGAGAGGGTTAACGCCGTGTCCATGTTTACGCCGAGGTTTGTAACAGTCGAGGTCACATGACAGGAGAGTGAGGAGTCAGGTGGTGAAGCTGCTCCAACATTATCAGTTACCTCAGTTTCAGAGTTGTTAGGACGAAAGAAGTTTTCAGCCAGCCACTCTTTGATGTTACCAAGACAATCAAGCAGAGGTTTGGAGGAGTCAGGGGGCTTGAGAGAGAAGTCGGTTTGACAATCGTCTGCATAGAAGTGATGGGAAACTGCATGGTGTCTAAAAATGGCTGCTAAGGGTAGAACATAGAGGGAGAACAGTAATAGTCCAAGGATGGAACCTTGAGGGACCCCAGGTAAGGGAGACCATCTGGGATGATGAATATTCATCCAGCATGACTGTAAGGGTCGCCAGCTTTCTATCGTTGATCGTGTCAAAGACCGCAGAGGGATCAAGGAGAACCAGAAAGACATGGAGACCTGAATCTAAGGCCAAAAAGATGTCATTAAACACACAAACATACGCTGGTGCCTAAAACCTGACTGAAAAATGTCCAATACCTGATGGTTACGCAGATGGCAGATCACCTGTTCATGCACAACCTTTTCAAGTACCTTAGCTAGAAATGGTCGTTTGGAAATCGGGCGGAGATTAGTGGAAACAGCTAGGTCAAGGCCAGGTTTTCTTCAGAATTGGCTGTATAACGATATGTTTGAAGGCACGAGGAACTACAGCCGAGGCATTATAACGACCATTAATTATGTCCAGCACATTTGAGCTAATCAAAGGAAGCACATCTTCCATTGGTCATATTCAAAGGAGACAGCGCACAAATCACAGGTGGAGACCAGCCCAGTGCAAACGCACTTAACTCAAGAGTCGATGGAGATAGTGAAAAGGCACGTGGTTACAGATAAGGTCCGAAGTCAACACAAAACCACAGCGGTGCGTTCTCAGAGTGTCGATGTAGGAGCATCCAGGTCGAATCTCAGCAGATGCACCAATCCCAGTGGGTCTCAATGCTTTCCTCTTTACGTTGTCAAGGTTTACCCCCTGCTAGCGTAAAGAGACAAGGTGCAGGGGAGCAATCCTGAGGAATCCGCCTGAACACGGGGAACCAGGCACCGGCTAACAGGGACAGATGATAACAGCTGTTCTAACGACAACATTAATAACAGGTGTTATGAGAACAACAACAACAATAACAATAGTAATAACAGTTGTTTTAGCAACAACATTAATAACAGGTGTTATGATAACAACAATATTAATACTAACAACAGCTGTTATAACACAATATTAATAATAACAGCTGTTATAATGACTATATTAATAAAAAATGCTGTTATAACACAATATTAATAATAACAGCTGTTATAATGACTATATTAATAAAAACTGCTGTTATAACAAAAACAATAATAACAACAGCTGTTATAAGAACAACAACAACAATAATAACAACAGCTGTTAAAAGAACAAAAACAGCAAACATCAACAATAATAATAATAAAAGCTGTTTAAACAACAACAATAATAACTGCTGTTATAACAACAACAATATTAACAGCTGTTATAAGAACAACAACAACAATAATAACAACAGCTGTTAAAAGAAAACGACTATAACAGCTGTTATAACAATAACAAAAGCTGTTATAAGAAGAACAACAATAATAATAATTGTTGTAACAACAACAACTGTTACAACAACAACAATATTAACAACAACAACACAACAACAGGTGTTATGACAACAACACTCTGATTTCAGCTGTCCCTATCAGAATATCTGACACAAAGGAAAATGCTGCTGTCATCATCTACCAGATTAACCAGCAGAAGCTGATCAGGGTCACCATGGTAACCAGTCGAGAGGCGTACCTGAACTCTACAGAGATGCTTTAATCTATGTTAGATGACGTCACCAATCGTCTCCGTCTGAACCAATAACCAAGACCCTGACACGTGACGACAGAGAGGTTGTTGGACGGTTCTGGTGCTCCGAACCGTTTACAGGAGGGAGGGAGACTCACCTACCGGATCGGAAGAGTGCCGACAGTCTCGTGAAGGCCACGCGCTGATCCGGTCACACTGTACCCATCCGGTCCCGAACAATTAACGAGAGAATAAGTCTGGAGGGTCCTGCTGCTGGTTCCGGTACCGGTGCTGGAGCTGGAGCTGCGGGCCTGTCGGTTCCGGGACAGCCAGGCGGTGGCGCGGGGTGGGGGCGCTGCTCCCCCCTCACAGGAAAGTTAAACCCGAACTAACCGGGTCAGCTCCGGTGTGACGGAACCTCCAGCTCCACTTTAATCCGGGAACACGTCACCGTCCGGTACCGGAGGCCGTCGGTGGGGACAGGAAGGCTTTGGGCCGAGGTGGTGGTGGAGGGGAGGGGGTGCTGCGGCCCGCCGCGGACTGGTCCGGGACAGAAAGTTTCTGAAAGTCGGTAATCCGTCCGTTACTCTGCCCGGTGTCCTCCGGGGGTGGGCGGGGTCACGGAGAACCGTGCGGTAACGGCGGGTTTCAACGGAAACCGGAGAAGGAGAAAAAAGAAAAGGGGGGAGGCAGAGAGGCTGGCCGGTGGCCTGGCCGCGCGGCGGGAGAGTGCATGTGAGAGCGGGCGCGTCCCCGAGACGTGCGCTGCCCGACTGGCCCCGCCCCCGAGCCGGAACAGCAGAGGTCTCACTCTGCCGGGTTTGGAGGAGGGTCAGAGACGATCACAGAGAAACACCAGCTCATGGTGACATCATAATGACGTCACGACCCGGTGTAACTCCACCTGAAACCAGGATGAGGTGAGAGTCGTGAGGGAGGACCACGCCCCGGCCTGGTGCAGACTCAGGTGTTGCTCTGAATCTCTGACAGAGTGGAGCCTCGGCTACAACAGAGCATCCGTGCTAAAGCAGCGCTGGGAGGATGTAACCTGAGAGGTGACCTTTGACCTCTACTAGTCAGACGTCACAGGAGCTGCTGGATGTCTCCTGATCTCATCGGAGGGTCGGAGGTCTTCATGACTCAGCAGAACTAAGGAGCTCAGCTGAGTTTGAGAATGATTTCTGCACCACTGCTGCAGCTGACTGCGTTACCTGCTGCAGCGGCAGGACGAGGACAGGTAGGGACTCACCTGGAGAGCATCAGCAGGTAAACAGTGTCTTCACCTCAGAAGGTGTGTCAGCATCCCCCAGAGAGACCAGGACGTCCCTCAGGGACTAAACCCTGATCCACCATGTCCGTTTCAGGTGAGGAGTTCAGGTGAGTCTCCTGAGAACCAATCAGAGCCTGAAACACGACTCCATGAGACGAACAAGAGAAGAAACACAAATGTGTGTGAGACAAGAGAGGGAGGGGTCAGGAAACACCTGGAGGACAGGAAACACACACACACACACACACACACACACACACACACACACACACACACACACACACACACACACAAATGTGGGGTTAAGGGTCAGAAGTGTTGGGGTATGGCTCCCCCTGCTGGACACCACCTGGTTCTGCTCACTGCTGCAGGTCGTCCCTCAGGCTCCAGCAGGTTATGGGATGTGGAACATAAGCCGGCACCTTAAGTTCTGCTGGAGAACCTTGTTATGAGAACTTTTATACCGGTGTGTATATTTGAAGCTCTTATTGTGAAAGGCTAAAGGAAGTGCTTTGGTGGTGAGGAGGCTGCTGTAGAACAAGACCGTGGACAGCAGAACCCTCCAGCAGCGTTCAGGAGAACATGGAGGTTCTGGTCCTGTGCATGGAGCCTGGTGCTTCTCCGTCAGCTCCAACAGGGAGACACACGGACTGACGGCAGCGTTTTGCTCTCATACTTCTCCGTCTCCTGGAGAGTGTTGCAAAGCAACTCCCCGCCAGGACACCAGAGGGCGTAGTGCTGTTCTGTGGTATCCTGTCATGTATCGGTCCAAGATAGTGTGTTTCATCCTCCTCCACCTCTTCATGCGCTCCCCACCTCTAAACCCACGTTTCCTGTCATTTCCGTCCACAAATAAAACGCTTGCTGTGCATCTTTTCACTCCTCCAGTCACGGGAGGATGAAACGTTCATATTTTTAGAGTTTTTTCGCGAGGTATTCTTCAAGCTTCTCCGTGTCCTCCGCTAGTTATGCTCGGCTCTCTTTATGCTTTTGAGGGCGCGATGGCGGCGCTGTAGACTACCACGGCGTCCTGACCAATCACAAGCTTGCGTCTCAGTCTTGACTGATGGATGTTTAGAAGAGCGGGCTCGACTCCGTCGGTACTTGGATTCCCTGTCTTGAGCGCATCGAATCACAACACAGATTCAGAGACTGCTGAGTTTGTCATCCAAAATGCTCCGTTTTATAACTTTTGAATGGCTGATCAGATTCAAATAATTCCAACGGTTCCTAAAAGTACATAAAAGCAGCTTTCCAACGATCTATAGCATGAAGCAATCAGAGTTAGGGAAAATATCGCTACGGGGAAATCCTGCTGTACAGCCTGACTGAAACGGAGCGCAGCGCCGCGGTGAAAGCGGATAACGGGACGGGGAAGCTAATCAGCATAAAAGCCAGCATGAAATTATGGAAATGCCTCAAAGAAAATCAACACGATCTACTAGGTGTCCCAGAAGGCTTACGTCTGAAGACAGTGACCACGAAGAAGTACAGATCTCAGGTGAACCAGGATATGAATGTTTGTTCAGTCTTTATTTTTTTATTTGAACAACCCTCAACTATTTGCTAATTGTAAGATTCAGCTTCATTCCAGCATTATTTATCTTTTTACAATAAATAATTATTTTTGCTAAAACAAATGTTTTTGGTATAGCAGTGCACGGTGTGCCAGAGAAGCCCCCCATGGCGGTGTGAGGTGTGCAGGACTCTGCCTGCAGCTGGAGAGAAGCTGCTTCAAGGTCTACCACATCAAATAAAAACGTCTGAAAGTTTAAAAAAATAAAGTCTTAAAAACTGCTACAAGACACCAAGGTTCAAACTTTTTTAAGAATAGATGCATTTCAGTTCAAAGTTTAAATTGTTTGCCCAGTCATTTTGAAGTTCCTGTTCAGTAATAAATGTAAAAAATTCAAATCCGTTTTTTGCTTTTTTCACTTTAAAGCTGATTTTTTAAAGGCTGTAATAGAAATACATTCTAAATAGAAGAAGAAGAAGAAAATATCATTTCTTCAGCACCTCTCAAGATAAAAATCACGAGGCGCTTCACAAAAACAAAAATATAAAAAAGCATTTAGAAAATGTTTAAAAATATATTTAAAATGAGCAAAAATAGGCAATTGGGATTTAAAAGAAAAAATGTTAATAAAGAGAGAGAGTGAACAGGAAAGAGGGAAACCAGTGGATCCTGAGGAAGGTGGAATAGGTGGGGAGAGCAGAATAAAGAGAGAAAGGTGAAGAAGGTCATACAAAAGCCAGCTTGAACAAGTGAGTCTTCAGCTGCTTTTTAAAGGAGACCACTGAGTCCACTGATCTCAGGCTCAGGGGGAGAGAGGTCCAGAGTCTGGGGGCCACAGCAGCAGATGATCTGTCACCTTTGACCTTTATCCTGGTGCTGCACAACCAGTAGGCTTTGATCACTGGACCTCAGGGACCTGCTGGGGGTGTAGGGACTAAGAAGATCACCAATGTAAGATGGTGCTTGTCCATGTAAGGCCCTATAGACCAGAACCAGGATCTTGAAATGAACCCTGAAGTTGACTGGCAGCCAGTGAAGCTGGAGGAGAAGCGGCTTCACGTTTCTTTTCGTGAAATGTTGAAGTGGTTTGGAAATACAAACCATACACTGAAAGCTGAGGTTGTTCTGAAAAAAGGAGAAGAGTTACACACACTTTGCACTTGTTATTACAATTTTACAGCCATAAGATTAAAAATACCAGGCGGCCCTGTTATAATTATGGTCATAAGAGGTTTATTAAGACGGCGATGCACAAACTGGGATTGGTAGTCATTCCACTCCAATCCAGTTGGTGGCAGTAATGCACCAAATTGTTGTTTGCCAAGTGCCATAAGACCACAAATAAGAATAAGAAGAGAGGTGGGAGTGTTCGTAACAAACTCCAAGCGATAGTCAAAACATGAAGCATGACATGAAGTTATCCTAGTGGCTCCAATAAGAGAAAGAAGCAGCTTGCTTCATAAAAGCTTTTATCTTCACTTCTGAAAGTGACATCGTTTCTCGATGTAAACATCAAAAGGAAGCAGAAAGGAAAAACAATGGAAAATGTTTCAAGGAAGGAAAACATAGACCAAAATGGAAAATAGAAAAAAAATAACTAAGGCTAAAGCACAGGAGCGCTGACAGAAAGAAGAAAGCAGAGCAAATATTGAAGGCACTCAAAGGGAGAGAAAAACAGGAAAAAAGAGGAGGACTAATAAAAAGTGAAAATAACTCGTGTCAGAAGAGGGGAGAGTTTTGCAAATCCAGTTAAAGGTCAGATTGTAACCCTGTATATATATATATATATATATATATATATATATATATATATATATATATATATATATATATATATGTATACAGGCGTGTATTTGACTCAAGCTCATCAAGCTCCAGGCCTTTATTGGAAGGAGGGCCAGTATTAGATGCAGGCCTCTATTTCTGTTTGAGCAAAATGAACTAATGGTTCGCTGGAGTTTTTGACAATTAAAATTGCGCCCACATTTTCAAAGTTAAACACATTTCTTTTAACAACGGTAGTTTCTGCTTCAGCCCTCTCCCCCCTCCCCCTGCTTCAGCCCTCTCCCCTCCCTCCCCCCCCCTCCCCCCCCCCCTGCACAGTGGCCGCAAACTCACTGATGCGCCTGCAGCCTCTCGGAGTTCCTGCTGCTCTAAACATTAAAATAATTATTTCATTTTCTGTTCCTCACGTCTGATTACCTTCAATGGTGTCTGTTTGTTGCAACCAGCAGGTACAAAAACTAACTTGTTTTTATTTGACTATTTTTCTGTCCTGTCAGAGAGGATTATAAGACACCTTTCGTCAAACTTTTTGACAGGTCTATTGTTCTTTGACCTTTTTGACCTTTCAGTCCTATTGTTCATTTGACCCTTGACCTTGCCCCCCTTTCCTATCATTAATCAAATGGACAGGTGTATTGTTCAATCTTTGCCCCCCCTTCCGTATCATTAATCAAATGGACATGTGTATTGTTAATTGTCCAGATGGCCTAGACCCCCCACGCCGCATCATCAATGGCGTATTGTTGAACGTGTCCAGATGTCCATGATTCCCCACGTCATAGGCTAATGTGTGTAATGGCGTGTGAAGTTTCTTATTGTGTTACTCCAGCGGTTCCCACAGCCCCCTCCCTTCTGAGTGTATTCCTATAGTGTTACCCCCTTTGCATAACTCTTTAAAAGCTCAGATCGTGTCCGAATGCTGAAAAGCCGACCTCTAAGAAAAAATGATGAACCACGAGGAGCTGAATGAAGCACCAAGCCACGAGGAAGAGGTGTCTACATCCGACGCTTCAACTTCAACTCAAAAAGTGAAAGAAGAGAGCGTGGATACGCCGCTGTCGCAAGCCTCTCAGATATGTTCATCACCTAAATTCAACACACAGAAAGTTTTGTCATCTAAATTGTACTGCAAATGCAGA